CTATTGTAGAAGAAGGATTTTAAAGGTTTTACCTCTATTTCCCCTATTGGGCACCACCTCTCTGCCTCCAGGGTTTCAGACACACCGTTTATACAAAATGTGTTCCCCTTCACCCAAGAGTGCTTCATATCAAATTTTGAAAAAAATCCTGTCATTCCTACAAAAGAAGGATTTTAAAGAATTTTCTGTTTCCCTTATTGGGCCCCTCCCTTCTGCCCCCAGGGGAGCCATACTCGCTGTTTAAACGAAATTGAGTCCCTTTTGCCTTAGGATGCTCCAGACTAAATTAGGATAATATCCCTTAATCCCTATGGTAGAAGAAGGGTTATAAAGGTTTTACCTATATTTCCCCTATTTGGCCCCGCCCCTCAGGCCCCAGGGGGGCCACACCCACCGTTTATACAAAATTGGTTCCCCTATACCCAAGGATGCTTCAGACCGAATATCAACCAAATCCTTTCATTCCTACAGAAGAAGAAGAAGTTTAAAGAATGGTTTGCTATGTTTCCACTATTGGGCCGGGCCCCTCAGGCCCCTAGGGGGCCACACCCACCGTTTATACAAAATTGGTTCCCCTTCACCCAAGAATGGCTCAGACCAAATATGGACCAAATCCTTTCATTCCTACAGAATAAGAAGGATTTTAAAGAATTTGCTATGTTTCCCCTATTCGCCCCCGCCCCTCAGGCCTCTGGGAGGCCACACCCACCGTTTATACAACTTTGGTTCCCTTTCACCCAAGGATGCTTCAGACTAAATATGGAACAAATCCTTTTATCCCTACAGAAGAAGAAGGACTTTAAAGAATTTGCTATGTTTCCCCTATTTGGCCCCGCCCCTCAGGCCTCTGGGAGGCCACACCCACCGTTTATACAAATTTGGTTCCCTTTCACCCAAGGATGCTTCAGACTAAATATGGAACAAATCCTTTTATTCCTACAGAAGAAGAAGGACTTTAAAGAATTTGCTATGTTTCCCCTATTTGGCCCCGCCCCTCAGGCCCCTGGGGGCCAGACCCACGTTTTTTACAAAATTGTTCCCCCCTTACCCAAGGATGCTTCAGACCAAATATGGAACAAATCCTTTTTATTCCTAGAGAAGAAGAAGGATTTTTAAGAATATTTTGCTATGATTCCCCTATTGGGTCCCGCCCATCGGGCCATCTAGGGGGCCACACCCACCGTTTATACAAAATTGGTCCCCCTTTACCCAAGAATGGCTCAGACCAAATATGGACCAAATCCTTTCATTCCTACAGAATAAGAAGGATTTTAAAGAATTTGCTATGTTTCCCCTATTTGGCCCCGCCCCTCAGGCCCCTGGGGGCCAGACCCACGGTTTATACAAAATTGTTCCCCCTTTACCCAAGAATGGCTCAGACCAAATATGGACCAAATCCTTTCATTCCTACAGAATAAGAAGGATTTTAAAGAATTTGCTATGTTTCCCCTATTTGGCCCCGCCCCTCAGGCCCCTGGGGGCCAGACCCACGGTTTATACAAAATTGTTCCCCCTTTACCCAAGAATGGCTCAGACCAAATATGGACCAAATCCTTTCATTCCTACAGAATAAGAAGGATTTTAAAGAATTTGCTATGTTTCCCCTATTTGGCCCCGCCCCTCAGGCCTCTGGGAGGCCAGACCCACGGTTAATACAAATTTGGTTCCCTTTCACCCAAGGATGCTTCAGACTAAATATGGAACAAATCCTTTTATTCCTACAGAAGAAGAAGGACTTTAAAGAATTTGCTATGTTTCCCCTATTTGGCCCCGCCCCTCAGGCCCCTGGGGGCCAGACCCACGGTTTTTACAAAATTGTTCCCCCCTTACCCAAGGATGCTTCAGACCAAATATGGAACAAATCCTTTTTATTCCTAGAGAAGAAGAAGGATTTTTAAGAATATTTTGCTATGATTTCCCTATTGGGTCCCGCCCATCGGGCCATCTAGGGGGCCAGACCCACGGTTTATACAAAATTGGTTCCCCTTCACCCAAGAATGGCTCAGACCAAATATTGACCAAATCCTTTTTTTCCTACAGAATAAGAAGGATTTTAAAGAATTTGCTATGTTCCCCTATTTGGCCCGCCCCTCAGGCCCCTGGGGGGCCAGACCCACGGTTAATACAAATTTGGTTCCCTTTCACCCAAGGATGCTTCAGACCAAATATGGAACAAATCCTCTCATTCCTACAGAAGAAGAAGGATTTTTAAGAATATTTTGCTATGTTTCCCCTATTTGTCCCCGCCCCTCAGGCCCCTGGGGGGCCAGACCCATGGTTTATACAAAAATGTCCCCCCTTTACCCAAGGATGCTTCAGACCAAATATGGAACAAATCCTTTCGTTCCTACAGAAGAAGAAGGATTTTAAAGAATTTGCTATATTTCCCCTATTGGGCCCCACCCCTCAGCCCCAAAGGGGGCCATACCCATTTGTTCCCCTTCCCACAAGGATGCTTCTGACCAAATTTGGTCAAAATCTGCTCAGTCGTTCATGACTAGTAGCGTTTTAAAGGAAAAGTTGACGGACGGACGACGAACGGACGACGGACGCTGCGGTATGGCATAAGCTCACTATGGTCCTTTGGACCAGGTGAGCTAAAAAAAAACTTTTCACGAAATTAACCAAGTCCGGAAAAAAATTAGAAACGATCGCCATGACAGATCACGCGTGATGTTATCTCAATTATCCTTTCTATATATGGCGTGCATGGCCAAAATTAGTATTACTACTGACGTTGCCATGTTCTCTACGATTTCCATATTGGGTCATGACACCCATATTTAGAAGTCTGACCTATATCGGAAGAGAGACGAACTTTCCAACATGGCGGTCAAATCAGATTTCGATTGCGCTTGCTACGTTAACTTGATAATAACGACATTTTAGACAGAGTTTAAAGTTGCGCAGTATATCAACATAAATAGTTCATATTACAACCCTATTTATGGATGCAGACCAATGTGCTGTCAATTGATTCTAAAATCGCCCGGTGTCATTCACACCAGGCTTGCTCCATTACAAGGCATGGGAGCGATAGTACTACCCAGGAACGTGAGAAAGATGTTGGCTGGTTGCAGAGGCCCTATAACCACAGATAATAATTTGTGAACCGCTTTGAGACGAGCTACGAACTAGGTTATAAAGCGGTATAAAAGGATCGATGGTCCCATTTGTACATGCTCTATCTGTATTAAACTTTCTGCTAAATGATTTGTCCCGTTCGCTGTTTTAATATGTACTTTAAAGTTTGCTCATTATCAGAGGACTTGATGGGTAGGGGTTACCCAACCATCTGTCCTCTGATTGATAGGTAGGGGTTACCCAACCATCTGTCCTCTGATTGTTGGGTAGGGGTTACCCAACCATCTGTCCTCTGCACACCCGGCCCNTTTTGGCGGCGGACTGACCTTTTCCGGGCCGGCCCGAAATGGTCTGATCGGCCGGGAATGGGAACATATTAACATTTTAAAATGCATCAAATAATGCACGGAGCATGTATAAAAAAAATCTGGGGCTATGCCCCACACATCCCATACGGCATCCTAGCAAATATTGTGGGTTTCCGTTATCTGATATTTTTACTAAAGTTTCTTATATTAAAACAATATTTGTTGGTATCGCTACACTCGTCTACTTTGTATCTTGACCCTAAAGTGTTTGTTTTTTTACCACCTCCGCAAAACCCCAAGTTGCAACTTGCAACGCTCGGCGAAAATATACTAGCATAAGTTGCATAATTATATTATTGACCGCTCGTTATAGATGATCTAAAAATTGATACTTTTTATTGTAACCTTCCTAACCGCCCGGGCTATATTAATCATATCATTATACAAAAACGATAAAGTTTTTTTTCGGCTGACAATATTATGTATAATCGACTAAACATATCCATTCAAATATTTTGGTATTATATTTATTGTAAGAACTGTTCAAATGTACAACATAATATCTCATTGTGGTACTTATAGCTTACCATCGTGTACGTACAAGAAAGTATCTTCACACAGCATACTATTGTGTACCTATTAATAAGTTGTACGTACCAGAATGAGATGATATGCTGTACTTACAAGTATGATAATTTTAAATTGAATTTAAAGGTGACGCGTATGTGCCTCCTAAATTGTACCATTTTAACCAGATAGCTTAGCAAATGTACCACTATTGGTAATATGCACGCCCTTACATGAGTTAATCAGCGTGGACATTTCAGATATATCATTGTCTACACTAGTGAATTAGTCAACAATTATAAAACGCGAGACTTTATAGCTAGTGACCTTGGGTGTCGCACTAATTTGAACTTATCCCTTTGTTTAGCAATCAGCGTGGACATTTCAGATATATCATTGTCTACACTAACGATGTTATGGTGTTATTTGTTCTTTTGTACGACAAAATATAACATGAAGTACTGTACTGTAGGTACAATGTCTGAAGACTAGATATTGTGCGTCCCTACATTTATTTTTGACAGTGGACCTCTCGTATCCCCCTTGCGGGCGGGACGCCAAATTAGGTAATAACGAACAAGCCCCCTGTGGATTCATACATTTGTAATCACCAGGTTGCCCCTGTAATAATACCATCTGACTTCTAAAACACGCTGTTGATAGAGAATTTGAACCGAAACTTTAATTTTCTTTCCAGTACACAAAAAAAGTCTTTGGGCCATACTTAAAATATGTTTTTTTCTTCTTGTTAATTAAACATAAAAACAATCCTCAGAACACGGGAAATCCCCCTACTCGCGCTACGGGCTAAAATTTCTCGGACCCCCCTTTTAGGAAATCCTGGATCCGCCCCTGCCTTTGATTGTGTGTGCAGAGGTGCTCTGGTTGGCACTGCTCAAAATTGTTTATATACATGTATTTGTGTAATAAACGTGTTACATGCTTTGATTTGTTCTTGGTTTTTTTTATATGTTTCTTTCAACATGCTATCCGTCATCAGAACAAACTACTTTAGTATGTATAATGAAACAAGACACAGGAAACATACTGTTTATATATTATTATATATATGATATGTATATAAAATATAATCATGTCTCTACAAAATTTGTCAACGAGCTACATAAATAATATATCAACACCAATGAAGTTCACGTCAGCCAGTAATAGTGCTGTCTGGCGGCACCTAGCTTATATTATGTCGGCATTACTGTTACTTCTTAAAATGTTCATATTATTTCTTCCTGTATCACCATTAGTGTTGTCAACATGAAATATATTTTGTGTACACAGTTCCTGATGGATTTGTTTGGTCGTTTGGATTGTTTGAAAACATCGTGGTGTCAATACGAAGGGCAACCGATGTAGTGGAGGTTTTGTAACACGGTAATGGTACTAATGGATTGTCTACATGTTAGCGATGATCCAATCCCTATGGTAAGAGGTCCTGCTATAGGCGGTGGCTCCGTTCCTGCAGGTTTCGGTTCCCCATGAAACAACTCCCGCCTGTATCCAGCTCCCGTTAACAGAGCACTGCAGAGGACCGCCGCTGTCACCCTGGAACACAAGCGCCAACAAAACACTGTACAATTACAGCTTCAAAGTCTGCATTATCACATTAGTATTGACAGCGTAAGTAGGTAGGTTTGACAACTCGTGTATCTTTATTGGCAGTCATTCGTCCGGTTCACTGGGTTTTTCGAGAGGTTCCCCAGTGTACATTGAGATCTATAGTATGTCTTAAATCAGGGCCGTTTTCGTTTAAACGGTCAAACCGGTCGGGACCACAGTTGTTCGTTTATTAAATAAATTCGGACCTAGTAATCTGATGCTGCTTTCAGGTGAGCCTTGACAAAGCCCGGCAAGGCCTGTATAAACATTTGCAAGTCCGCCAGGATGTATACCCGAAATTGTTACATTTATAAAAACGAACAGGCCCTAGTACTTATTATACGGGAGGACTTGAACCGGCGGTAAGTTCGGATATGCTTGACAGTTTTATCTTGTACATTAAAATTTGCACAACGGAATTTCATAACAGTACATTAAGACTTATATAACAGATGCTTCGCACCATTGCCAAACAACCTATATAATGTCCTGGTGTATTAAGAGTTCTACATGTATATAACTGTTATCTTGTACATTAAAACTTGCACAACAGAATTTCGTAACAGTACATTTAGACTTACATAACAGTACATTAAGACTTATATAACAGTACATTAAGACTATAAACATATATAGAACGTCAGGGTGTTTTTAGAGTTATATACAATAAACACAAGACATACAATATGTAAGAAGACATAAAATACAAAAAGAAGTTTTCCTCATGTTTCAGATTTGTACCTCCATCTTAACATCCGCCCTACCCACCTTATATTATAGGGGGATCGTCCATTTGTACCTCCATCTAAACCTCCGCCCTACCCACCTTATATTATAGGGGATCGTCCTTTTGCATTAAGAATGATTTATTAGAAGTTGCGATATTACGCATCTAAACTTTCTGCTCATTGCACTGATACTTACAAAACAAGCCCCCTTCGGTTCCGAGTCGGTACAAATCATATCGTCCGAGACAGGATAGGGACTGAGGCTGGCCTCGCACTGAGCATTTGTCACTACCGGTGTTTCAAGTTGCTGCAGTATTTTGGCGGGCTTGGAGAGTCCTAAGAAAGCAGCGAAAATAGTTCAGTTATACAATTTCTTAAACACTCAAATACTTTTAACTAGTGCAACAATCACACAAAACTTTGTGCATACAATGTAGCAATATACGGTTAAGGAAGATATGGCTTATTGTAAACACGATTCATGATTTACTTAAGTTAAAAGTCGATAGAGTGGTAACACATTGACGAGGCACAGACGACAGATGTGGTAACACATTAACGAGGAACAGACGACAGTGGAGTAACACATTGACGGGGAACTGACGACAGAGTGGTAACATATA